GATGCCCTTGATGATGAAGACTATCAGTTGATCCAGGAAAACATTGGTATAAACCTGAAAAGAAAGGTAAAATTATGGTTTATTAACGAATGAACCATAAAACAGAGTTTAAATACACTCTGTCGGTGTATATCGTTCAATTATTTTGTTTGTATTATCTGTCTTCAGTTTAACGAAGAAAGACTACAAATAGCCTCCAAGGTCTTNATGCGTGTAGGATTCTGTAAGAGACCATTCATCGCTCTGGATTGTTTTGAAATGTTAGTTTTCATTTTGTTTGACCTCTTGACTTTTCGACACTGGCATGTCACCACATCCAGAGAATTCCGAGAAAGAATGTACCCTTATATTTGAAAGCTGCTACACCAGTTTTCTCTGCTTCCATCATGCCTCAAATTTCAAATGGTATTCTCAGTTTACCCTTCAAGCTACTTTTCTCTTCAACCGAGTGGGAATGTGACCATAGATACCCATTTTTCGTGTAAATATGATCTTGATAGTATTACATGTTTATCAGGTCTTCCTGTTGTCTCGTTCTCTTGTGTTATACAGTTTTCTTGCTCCTTAATTGTTTCATTATCGTGGCGACCAGTTAATTTTTGGAATTATTATTTGTTGACAGTAAACAGATTATCGTTGTCCTCTTAGGCACCACTTTAAGCCATCACTTACCATTTGTCTCGTTGCGATTATTAGACACTGAGTGAACGTGTTGCGGTTTAGCCAATGGTTTTGACATCATCAGTCAGCTGGCCCGTTCCCTTTGAACAAAAGTTGTGAGGTTGGTTTTTATCACATCCTAGTGTGTTTCGTGTGGGGAATGAGTCTACCATTTACGAGAATATCGCTCTTGGCATGGGCGGCGTTGTTCAAAAAGAAAAATTCATTTAGCCTTAATATCATTTTTGTTATTGCAGTAAACTACAATTGCAAAGAGTACAGTTGCACATTGTGTATCTAACGAGTTGTTTGACGTCAACTGAGAAAAAAAATTATTTTTTAGAATCATATTGTGAGGTTATAATAACATCGAAATTAACTATTGCTTATACACACGTGGATGCGTAAAGGTTCTTGCTGACATCTGGATAATTTTATTTATCTATGTCCATTAATCCATCAGCCGAAGCGTCGTTTAGTGCTAGATGATGACGACGAGGAAGAAAATGATGAAGAGGTGGCTGCGAAGAAAGTGGCCCATGAATCACACGATGATCGTGAAGTAATTGCACGACAGATATTTGAAGATGAGGATGATGAAGAAATGCCTAGTGGACGGACAATGGCTAGTAAACCAGCCAACTTCAGAGTTACGGGTGAAGACGAGGAGGAGGAGGAAGAAGAGGGAGAGTATGACGGTAAGAATTTTCCTTATCCTTGCAGTGTGGCAGTTCTGTTATTTACCTGCTATTTGGTCAACGTTTATCATCTAAACAAACTAATTTATCAAATTTGATTAATTCAAAATGTTCTACACCTGCTTTGTTCTGTTTTTTGCTGTTATCATCCAGAATCAGTATAAAATTAGGCTTATACACATTACACCAACTAAATAAATTGACCAAAAACAGGCTGTGTACTCAATTTGACTGACTCATCCCCATCCATGGTGCCCAAAGGTGTCATTCAGTGTCCCCCTCCCCGTGATCAGATTGTATCTCCAAGCTCACGCGAGACACTTCGATATCTAAACTGATCCTGTCCTACTATGTATTCTATTTTCATGTCTCCGTATTCCTGTTGCGTATCGTCGATTACTTACTACGAAAAGTGGTAGGTATACAATAACAACGTCATCACCCCTCGTGTTTAGAATTACAGTTTCACTTTTCATCACGCTGCTTACGTACTACCATGTATGGGGTACCCGGTAGGAGTAGCACCTCTGACTCGGAGAGCTGTCGGCCCCTTTGAGGCATCCTCCGTTCTTTGGTCTCCACTGGGTGCTGAGCTCTCACCTGTGGCTCTCAGAAGCCGTTTGAATACAACAGCGGCCACATCCCGGTAAACCGCTCGACAGGCGGGCCAAAACCAGGTT